GGGGGGGGACCGAAATAGAGAGGGGGGAGGCTAGGGCAACTAGGAGATAAGGGGAGAAGACGAGAACTAAGGGAACTTGACTAACGTGGTGCATGTAGAAATCAAGAGCGAGGAGCGGGAGCAGGTAACGAGAAATGGCTAGGCGTATGACACTTTGGGAAACTCGGCCGCGAGGGATCTTGCCGCCATTTTTCTTGGATAGAAGGGTGGAGGTTAGCCTGCCCTCCAGGGGCGGGGTGTATAATCCGGTGATGGACTGGGTTGGGGTAGAACTGGTAGAGGACACAGTGTACCTGGTGGTGGAACTAGAATGGCGCGCAAGGGGTGAGTTTGGGGGCACCAACCTGGAATTGCCAGGACGGGTGCGCGCGACAGGGTCCCTGTACTTGTCGGATGCGGGATGGCGGACCTTCGGGGTGGCCTTGGCGGATGGCGGTGACCCCGTACGGATGTTTGACGGGGCGTGGCAAGTGACCTGGAGGGATGGGTTTGCGTTCGCCAACCCGGACCGGGATAACATGACGGCGACCGTCCGGGTGGTCGAGGTAGGAACTAGTATCTTGCCTTATGAAAATGTGCGCATGGTCTTGCCACCCTTTTTGCTTGAGCGAATGAGAGGGGTAGAACGTGCCGAGATGGCAGTGATAGCCCTGGGTAGGTTGAGTTTTGGTAACATGACCATCTATCGAGAATACTACCGATCCTTTCTGGAACTAGGGCCGCTCGATGAGGAGCAGGAGTACGAGGTGCTAAACATTCTACAGGCCGTAGTGGGCACTAGACCTGGAATACCAACGGTAACCGAGGAAGTCGTGTGGGAGATAGCTAGGTGCGAGATAGGATGCGGGTTGACGTATGTGGACGACATCCGCCGGCTGTTCGAGGGGGAAGAAGAATAGGAGGGCAGAAAAGAAAAGCAAGGGGGAAGGTAGATCAGCGGGATCGGGTTATAAGGGGACTTAAAGAAAACTAAAAAGAGAGGTTTATTTTTCCTTTTCCCTTTTTTTGTGCGTGGTGTATGCAGGGCGATATTCGCCAACAATGACAGCAAGACGCGTCCGTACGAACTGGCGGGACATGCATCCGCAACTGCCCATGGAAACCGGAGGCGGATGGGAAGTGTCACTCCCGGCAAGCTACATTGTCCGGGGGATAGATACGGAATGGCGGGCTGTGACCCTAGGACGGAATCAGGCTTTCATGCTAGCTGAGTGCCTATGGGGTGGCATGAGATTCGAGAGTGGGTGGTACACAGGTTCATACCTGTGGTGGCAATCGTCTCTTATTGCCCTGGAGACCAGCTCCATCATGTAGGGTCTGGGGAAAAGTCAAGGGGTTTGATTTTGACGACTGCCATGGACTACGACGTCCAACAATAGAAATATAAAAAGCAGGATAACAGAGGATCTCCCTCTTCTCTCAACCACACGATTTGTTTAACCCTTACGCATGATTCTAGTAGGCCGCGCGAAACACTCAAGTCATAAGTATATACATATGTAAATAAGGTTATTAATATAGGACGATCACTTCTCACAGTCACAGTGGGTCTCCTCTCAGCCATATACATATGCATGTGAACGCAGCAGTCAAATCCAAAATCCGAATCATCAAACATACCTGCAATCACATCAAAGATCCAACCAAAAAGTCCATGCACTACACGGGGTCAACTTCAACCACTCTCTGCACTCACACCCCTTGCTTTTAGCCATACAAGCCTCACTCCTGTGCAACTCCTCAAAATAAAATGCTCAGTACTTTTCTTTAAATGACCATTCAAAATAAAGTCCGAGTGAAAACACAACAAAACAATTCAAATCACAGGGCTAAAGCCTTTAGGTTGAGTGGCAGGAGTGGATTGGAGTTGAGTTGTAAACCGACGAATCGACAACGGACATGTTATCAGTGATAACAGAAGACGATCCTCGTAGGATCAACCTGAATCTAGCCCAAATCCTGAATCAATCGATCAAGAAGACCTGTAACACAAAACAGACCAATCCCCAAGCTAAAGTCATAAGTGTATGGAGAATACAAACTCCATAACACACTCTCACCCAAGACCTTTCTACAAACTAAGCCTAACTTTGTCTCTAAGCAAGTGCCCAAAGAAAGGTAGACCCTGGCAGAGTCTCCTCTAAATAGAGTGGATTGCAAGAATCACCACCTGTCAAAATATTATCCTCTAAACTAAAAAAAATTTGGCAGCACTTCCCGTAGGAAAAGTGTCTTTCCAGAAATTATACAAAGCTAAGTTCAGAATGTACAGTGACTTTGACTTTTCAAAGTCTAATTTTGTCTAACTCCCTGAATTAGCAAAAATTTGGGCAGCACTCCCTTTAGAAAATGAGTCGTTCCAGATTTTTGCTAAGCCAAAAGGTCAAAAAAATTAGACCCTGAAAAAGACAGTCTGACTAACTCCTTGGTTTTGTAGAAATTTCGGCAGCGGTTCCCGTAGAGAAAGTGTCTTACCAAGATTTATACAAGGCCAAGTATAACAAAAGATCCCAGAAAATGCAGAAATTGACCTAAAAAACAAAAATTAGTTAAAAAAATGCAGGAATTGAAACCAACTCCTATGGCTCTACCACGTGGCGAGCAACTAAAGCAACTACCTATCAACCTGAAACTCAAACTAAGTAGTAGCCTCACTGAGTCACATGCAGGCCAACCCACAAAGGTAAGTACTCTCACCATCCCCAGGTCAATTTGGACAAACAATAGTTCGTAGTTTTTCAATGATTTATCCCTTTACCCCCAGCTTATATAGGGCATAAAGCTAGACCACCCAAACTTATGGAACATGTCTAGCTCAGCCATAGAGTATACACAAACACAGGGCACAACAACTTTTCTCTTCTTTGGGCATGCGAATAGGCCACCCTAGTCGCCCTGAATTGTTTAAGTATCCAAGATTTATATAACTGTTTGCACTTAGTCTTTTGAGGTAGCATATAACTGAGCCGATCATCTTTAGCTCAAGACTCAGTCTGCCCCTTCGTGCCACAAATTTATTCTTAATTAGTATTCTCTTCAGTCGGTGATAAGCTATAGTCAGACCACCCAAACTTATGGAACTCTGTCTGACTAGCCTGTTCATAGATAGAATAATAGTAAAGTATAGTCAAATTATATCCTTTTGGTTCCAGCATGTGCATGGCATTGGACCAAGACCACCCAAACTTATGGAACTTGTCTGGTCCTTTGCCTAGTTCATTCTCTTAAAGCCAAAGCAAAAAGAAACTCACAGAAACCCAAAGAAAATAAGGTCGCCAGACTACCCAAACTTATGGATTTTACTGGCTCCTGAAAAGTCAACCACAAGCAACCCTCGCAAGTCAGAGCAGCCAGACTACCCGAACTTATGAATTTGATTGACTCTCCACACAATCCAAAAATTAACACAACACTAAGCCTTCCCAAACTTATGGAATTGACCCAGCCTTGGTTGACCCAGCCAAACTCAGGCAATACTGCCTTCCTCCCAGCCTTCCCCCAGATGCAACCCCACAATCTGCTTTAAGTCAAACAACAAAGTTGAAACTGATTTCACACACACATTCCTTTACTTAGTCTAGATTGTGTCTTGAAATGCAAACTGAAAGTCAAAATAGGGAGACAGGCAACATACTCAGTCAAAACATAGCAAGGAATACAGATAGGGGCTATAACTGGGTTTATAGAGGGAAAGCAATAGTTACCTCTCAGTTCCCTGCCTCCAGAACTCCTCCTGAGTTCCGACAGAGCTCCCACAATCGGTGGGCTGACTACCCACAGAGTCTTGCTGCGGTCCTACGGGTTGCAATCCCGCCTGTCGCCTTCCTCTCAGATCGAGACTAGACTTAAGAGTAAGAAGGGCATAAGATAGGGGGTTTCAGATGCTCGAGATACAAGAGAGGGACAAACTCAACTCTCAGGAGAGGGCCTTGATACCTTCACTCGCCTGAGGGCCCCGCAATGATGGCCAAATAGTAGCAGCTTGGCCATCTTCTGAAGTCAAACTGCCGAAATCAATCACCGACTACCTCCTAATTCGCACCATTAACCCCCTACTTGTCCAGTCTGATCATTCCTCTGAATCCCAGCACCTCAATTTAGCCCAATCGTTGTTGCACCACAGCTTGTATCCGTCTTTAAACGCAGCAGCAGTACTCAGCGACAGTCAATGGCGATAGCAACAGTCACCAGCGGCCACCAACAGCAACAGTAGCAGTCTGTGCCCAGCCCGCAGCCGCAGCAGCTTGTGCATAATATGCGGTAACCAGTAGCAGCGGTAGTCCGTGTCCAGACGCAGCAGACAGCAACAGCAGTATACGCGCATTACACGACAACCAACAACAGGCAATGGTTCCCGCACAGTCAACCACGGCGACATATGCAATACACAACTGTGACCGGCAACAGTCAGCAATAGTTAGTAGCAGCCGACAATACTCAACAGCAACCAGCGGCAACAACAATAACAACAACAACCTTCCTTCGCGGAGTTACCCCCAACCACAGCAGTCGAACCGCCTGCAGATGCCGATTCTGCAGGCTAACAATACCGCATAACACCTAGGTCATAGGCTACCATCCCTGTAGACCGCCCTAAGAACCAGGTACGTGCCTCGACTCCTCTTTCCTTCTCCCAGATGTATCAGACCGCCTATATGGCTTTGTACATTCAAGCGTTATTGATACGGGCCACAATCATAACTAAGACGAAGAGCCTGAGCTACAGTCACAGTCGGAATTGAAAGTACGACACTGGTGGTGATCACGATGACCCCCACCGTGGTCCATGATGACCAAATGCAAATGCCAAGATCAACACCACCAGGCAGGCGTACTATAGTCAGGAGAAGAAAGTTCACTTGGCCAAGCCCGGATTGTCCGACCTCGATGATCAGTCCGCATTCCCACGCATAGGTGAGTCCTGAAAACGCTGATGCCGAACTTGGTCAAAAACCAGCAATAGCAGAGCGAGCACATTCTCGATGGCGAATCATCCTCAATTACGGCGATTTCAACGGAAGTGGTTGTAGTACTGGGCTGAAGCACATCACGATAGGCCACAGTCCGCTCCTTCTAACATAGGAAAAACAGGAATGAACCTTCCCCTATACGCGGACAGATACAGTTCTTTCCCGAAACTCTCCCCCGGGTGCAGCCTCTAATACCTGCCACACTAACCTCACCCACCGATCCTAAAATTCGGGCTTACCACCGGATTCGCCCGTCATCAGAACCCCAAAATACCACTCCCCTCACTTGATCCCTCTTGATCAACTAGTCAAGCCGACTAACTTTCACCCGCCTTCTCCACTCTCCTCGATACTCTCCACGCAGCCACATTTTATCCTACCTCCCACTACACTCCGTCATTCGCCGTTCCGACTTCACCATCGCGTTCACCCCGTTCCAAACCTTCTATTCAGCATCTTGAATCGCCATAAACGGTCAAGAAATGACCGACTTATCTCACTTTCATTCTCCATTCCCTTCCTTCTCCACCATTTCTCTGTGCACCTACTTTCTCTACTAACTCTAATTTTACTAATCTATTGGTCAAACTAACCTTACCAATCAAATCGCCATAACTGAAAACGTCCAATTCGAGACCTTCCTAGCCCAAATCCATCCACTATCGGATGAGATACATTTTTTCCCCTCCATCTTCTCTAACTCCATCGCTATCTCCGCGCACACTTTTTCTTCACTAACCTCCTATTCTCTTAATCTACCACTAAAACCTTCATTACTGTTTAATTCGTCGGGGGTGAAAACCCCGGAATCGCATCTTTTCTCTCTCGATTCCGCTAAGAATCGAGAGAGCCATGTCTCCTTGCCCGCGCCTGACTCCTCTCTCCGCCATCTCTGTCTCATATGCACCACGCCTGTCTTCACGTCTAGGTTCACTCATATTCTATTTTCGCCCTACCACTCTCACACTTAACTCCGCTCACTCAATTCATTGTTGTTTTCT